GGTATTATCAGAAAGTGACTGATTTTATTGAAAAGAAGCATCCTGAAAAGGCTCACACTGGCCATATTGCTGCTCAGAGTAATGACATTTGCCTAAGTCATTTTAGAAACATTTTAAAAAGTAGGCAAAGCCAAACCTCTTTGGATAGATATTTTACCAAGCGACCTCTATCCAGTGAAAGTGCTGGTGGAAGTGAAGGAAAGAAAGCAAAAAGCAGTGAATAAAAATTAAAAAAATATATATAAAACAACACTAATTTTTTTAATCTTTTCTAAGTTATTTTTAAGTTATTGTTACATTATGTTATGTAAGTTAAGTTTTAGTATCATTTCCCTTCTCCCTCTCTTCCGCCACCAGTTTACACCTCCACCGTCGTCTATCCTCAAAGGTAAAGTGCAAATAAAACTACATTTTTTTTAATCAATTATTATTCTATTATGGTTATTTATACATTTACAACTACAAAACGCATTTTTCAGTGTTTTCCTTACTATAGTTTTTTTTTTTTTTTCAATGTACTACTTAGCTTTAATTTGAGTGTGTTTTTTATGTTGGAATGAATTATTTGGTTTTACATGTAATCGTATGGGGAAAAATGATTCACCTTACAACATTTTCATGATACGATCGCAGTTTCGGAACTACAGTAGAGCGTCGTTTATCCGAAAGTCGGTTATCCGAAAGAATTCCAGTTTGCGAATTTAAATTTTTGCTAATGCTGTGGCACTGCAATCTTTGGCTATGTCTTGGGCTACTCAAATATTTTACATTTTTGATACTAAATTAACTTCTGAAGTATAATTTGTTATTATTTTTATATTTTTCAATATATTTATTTTGTTTGTACAAAATAAAGAAATAATTTTTAATGATACAATAGCCACAATTATTATTTTAAAAAGTTTACGTTAGGCTTAACATCGACGAAAATTCAATGCAAAGCGACACACAACGGAGAAAAATTTCAGGATGGGATAGGTTAATATATTTTTTCGTACATAATCGGTTATCCGAAAAATAAATTATCCGAACAACCCCAGTTCCCAATTGATTCGGATAAACGATGCTATACTGTAATTAATTTTGTATCCTGAGGTACCACTGTAATAGGCAAGGCCAACAAAACAATTTTTGCATTTCTATGCATCCACAAAGCCATTTTACATCTTCATAAATTTTATCATGAAAATGTCAAACAAATTTTTTTGTTGACGAATTTATATTTAATTTAGGCAATGGTCTTTCTCTTTTAATAATGTTTTCTTTTTCATTATATGGTCTCAAGCCAAAACTTTTTAAAAATAAATTTTCAATATCACAATTACATTCTAAATTGCTAGCTATAATATAAGGGCTAAAATTAAAAATAAAATTATAAAAACTTACTTGTTAAAATAAAATGTGTGATGGATATATAATTATACAAAATATTCAATTGTATGAATATACTTTTAAAGAAAATTATAATTAAATATAGTTTTGTGAAGAAATGTACATAAAAATAACATAAAATATTCTTTACTTTTTAGATATTAAAACAATCTACTTAGTTAAAATTGCTCTCTACTAGTGACTCATGGATGGAATCTTGGTAGGTGTGCATGCGTGCCAAATCCCGAGGATGCTGATACCAATTAATGTCAAATGCCTCTTTTGTTGCATTACTAGTATATCTCAAAGGATGCGACAGGGTTGTTGTAAATTTTAAACATTTCTCACCATAGCTGTAAAAATATAAATTTGTTAAATTTAATAGTCATTTTTTTTCTAACTAATTCGTTTTAAGACCAGGTGTCCATGGAAATTTCCAAAATTTACAACTTTTAGTCACTTTCATTGAACTGGAAAAATTTCTGTCTTTATTACATCTAATATTACAAAGAAATCAGTTCAAACTGTACTCGGCTAGAGATTGGTTTGGTTAAGCTTTCGTTTAAGTAAAATTCCGGCTCTTTTAGCAGGGTTTTATATATGTCTCCAATTCCCTAATCACTAAATTATTTAACTACTTCTGAAGTAGAAATAAGTTGAAACCAGTTACTTTGTACTCGAATATTTGTAGTATTGGGAAAAAAGTGGAAAGACAAATTTTTGGACAAATGGATACATAAATTGTAAATTTAAGGAAAATAAATTCTAGAGCTTTTTCTGTACTTCATGCATCTCTCTCATTCATTAAATTTAGTTGTAAATGACGCTGTCAGTTAATTTTTTAACAGTATACAAGAATTGTACACGTTTTTTTTCTACATCCCCTTAGAGATGGGATATATGAAATCGTAATATCACTGGTTTAACATTGAAATCCTTGAGTAATATAAAATCGGAGAGCGGAATAAAAATATCAAATATTTTAATGGATTTTTTTTAAACTCCTGTCAACTATACAGAACTATCATAAAAACATACCAATAAATTCTTTTCGGTTGGGTTAAGTTATAAATCTACTCGTGATTCACGTAATTAGGCGAGGGCAGCCAAATATCTAGCAGGCAGGCAGCTAACAGCCCAGAACCGGTCCTGGATAGAATTGGAAGCGTTATATGTGTAGCATTCACCCAGTCTTATGCTTCCACCAGCTAAACCGGGTAAGGTTGGTGCTCTGTAAAGCGCATGCGCAAATCTGGCTGTTTGGAAGCTGGCAATACAGCACTTCCACTCCGCCACTAATATACAATAACAATTTTTTTTTTGTTTTTTTCCACGTGTAGTATAGAAAATTATAATAAGATACATAATGCGGTTATAATAAAATATTGTGCGATTATTTTCATATAATTAAAATTAATATNATAACAATCTTATTTTTTTTTTCTTATGTAGTATAGAAATTTGTAATAAGATACATAATGTGGTTATAATAAAATATTGTGCGATTATTTTCATATAATTAAAATTAATATGTATTTATTTTTTAGAAAATACAAGGGAAGCAGTGCTTCCAGCACTTCCACTGGTGTCAGAAGTCGTTTTATGCCCAGGACACACTGGTGACCAGTGATGTGCCATCATTGGCAGTGCTTCCACTGCTTCCAATGATGGCACGTCACTGGTCACCAGTGTGTCCTGGGCTTAAAACGATTTCTGACACCAGTGTGACTATAGTCATTGCCTAATTCTTCCTGAGGCAAGAAGTCACCACCTGGTCCCTAACAATAGTCGTCACCAGTTCTCAGCCCAGATAGACTGTACTAGTACTAGCAATAAAGCGTGCACCAACACATAAGTGTGACGAAAGGTTGGCACCTTTTTGATGCCTTGTCAGGACTAACACCACTGTGTGTCTTGGTTGATATGGGAGTCACAGCGGCAAGTTTAGGTTGGGTTAAAAAGTAGGTGACGCAAGCGGCTGTGTGCGTGAGCGATCACACAATACACTGTACTAGTTCTCAAAATTGACATTGGAAATCTAATTTAATTAATAAATACATTTAGAAATCTAATTTGCAGAAAATATCTTGATGAAAATATGGTTGGTTAAAATGGAGGCCAGATAAGAGAGAGAGTCCCTATTGTTATTAATCAAGAGTCATTAAAATTATTTTATACAAATGACAAGATATAGCCTATCACAGAAGGAATAATATAATAAATTTTACAGAAATTGGTTAAAAGTTTATGTAGAATAATTATGTAAATACACTGTAATTGAAAAGTTAACAAAAGTTAACATTGAATAAGCTTCATACAAAATAGTAATACTTATTTTATTTACGACTTTATTATTATTACAATAATAATAATAATAATAATAATGTGAACCAGCTGACTCCACCACTAGATAAGAGGAAGAAGTGCAGAGAACACTAGGATCTTTATAGAATTGAGAAGTGATTGAGCTGGAAGGATAAGACTGTGCTCTCAAAGTGAAATTTTCGTTTTTTGGTTGTTCATGGTAATCAAGGAGATGATTACAGGGACTGTTGTGAAACATTAAGATCTGAGGATCAATATTTGACTCAATAATATTATTACCTTTTCAGGGACACTTTTTGGTGAATTTTCCAGTTTTTTGGCTGTTTGGACAATTACAGTAAAGAAAAGAATACTATATTATTTTGTCAATACTGCATATTATCATTGGAATTATAATCATAATTCTCTAGTTTAATACCTTTTGTTGCATATATTCTTTTAAATAATAATGTTTTCCATATTAATACTTTTATATTACCAAGTCTTTTATCTCTGTCTTGTCTTACTCCACCCTGGAAACAATGGATCAATTCCTATACATTTTATTCCTGTTTCATTGTTCCAAACACCAGATCTTCATCCTGACAATTATTACCTTCTGATATGTATATAAAATTTTATATATTTTTTAATCCCACAATTGGATAATGGTCCTGAATATATTTTTATTGTTAAGTTCAATATACAACTAAACAGAATTGACTGTACATTGAATGCTCAATTTCATAAACATTTATTTTTGTGTTTGTATTAATTTTTGGATAAATTGTTAGTTTTCTGTAAGATTGCTTTTTTATTTATTTTAATTATTATAATAGTTTGTCTAAATTAATTAGTGTATGTTGAATTTTCATTGCTAATAATAGTATAAATTTGTTTCTTTTGAAAACTGATTTATTTTATTTATTAATTAATGCAATAATATCTGCAAGTTCTTTAAGATATAACAAAACCAATAAACTGCTTTACTTGAATCCATATTTATTTCCACATTACTCTCTAGCACTTTTGGCATAAACAAATGAAACATTTAAGAATTCTATTTCATATAAACTTTTTATATATATATATAAGATAGTATATTTTAATATACAGATAATTTATCATTCTTACATTTAAAATTTTATAAAATTTATTTGAAGTAAAAAGAACCTATAATTTATATATTGTAAATTAGTAGATGTCAGTAAATTAAAGATTACAAAAATTATAAATTAATATTCTAAAAATTTCTTAGAATTATTTTTTAATATCAAATTATTTGACATCATAATTTTGAAATAACAACGTTTAAACTTTTACAGGGAAAAATTACAAGAAATGCAAAGGTGAGATACATATTGAAAATATGATGATAATTCTTATAGATATTAAATAAAAATTCATTGTTATGATATGTTATTATAAGTATTAAATTTATTTTATTTAGTTTAACATATAAGTATAACAAATAAAAAAAACTATCATTCCAAAAAGATTTTTGGAACAATTTACAATTTGAGTTCAAAACTTGAAATTGGTCTATGTTAATAGGTTGAAAATGTTTGTTCAATAAACAATTTTTTCTCAGTGGGCATTAGGTGATGTAATAAGATTATAGTCTCTGCTGAGTGCACTTTGTATGTTATAAACTTTGTTTTTTATTACACATGTGAATACATATCTTCATACTTGTGATCCAAAAAAGGAGACTATACTGCTACAAATTATCCATTCCTTCATCTATACTAATATTATAAAGAGGTAATGTTTGTATTATGTATGTTAGTTTGTATGCAGCAGGTAATCTCCGAAACTACTCATCCGATTTCAAAAATTTTTTCACCAATATTTAGAATGGAACTTCAGGATNGTATTTTAATATTGTAGACTTCCCAATAAATGGGGTCGGTTTTTGGCACTCGTAAATTTTTTTGCTCTAGGTGACTGCCTAATGCACCTATAGCTCAGGCCACACTGCCTCTATAAGACTAGACCTCAGGAGGCAAGATAAACAAATGGGCAATTAATCTGAAAAACAGATGCAAAATACTATATACAAAGTTGTAAATTAATATATATAAATGTAAATAAAAAGTTTATTTATCTGAAAATATGAGAGTACTTTTTGATTCTATTTGTGAATTGAAGTTTTAAAGGAATTTTCAGTTTTTCCATCAGTCATTTACCATATTTTTTCTGAAATTCAGATTGTTACATATCTGTTTTACAGATTCTGCAATATGAAGATTTTCCAATGCTTTTAGTTTTGTTTCAATAGTTAACACTTTCTGTTTCTGCAAGTATAAAGATAAAGATAATTCAGAGTTTATAGTTTACAGAAAGTGCATATTTCTGCATTTTCTGTAAAGGTTTCAAATGAACATAAATTAAAAAACAAAATTAGCAATGAAAATATGTACAGTAGAGCGTCGTTTATCCGAAGGTCGGTTATCCGAAACGTCGGTTATCCGAAGGAATTCCAGTCGACAAATTTAAATTTTCGCCAGTGCTGTNCTATTAGAATTTAAATTAAGAAAGTACTTTTATTAAAACTTTATAAATTATATTATTTTGATATTTATGATAAGAGTCCCTTTTCAGTATAGAAAAAAAATATCAGGGATAAAAATAACATTCTTACTTGACCAAAATATTTAATGCAATTTATTTTAAACATAATCAATTACATGTGATTTATTATTTAACATAAAGAAGTTGCTTTTTTACTGGTGTAATATTAAGTTACTTTAGTAAATAGTAATAATTCATACTTCTGTTTGTACAAACTCTGAAATTAAGTGATATACTTTAAACAGTGAAGAAATTATGGCTTTGCTATGCATGAAATATAAATGGTTTTTATTCTAAATATCAATAAAACATATAAAACACGAACTGTTTAACCCTATCAGAAATTAATAGTCTTAAGTCATTTGTTACCAGAAAATTCTTGATTGGCTTGATGACTATAGATGAAAGCATCAGTCAGTGGAAGAGATATATCATCTAGAACCATATACACTGGAAACAATGAGCAAATTGATTGAATCTTACTTTTCTTCAGATGTTTTCATCTGTAGCCATCAAGCCAGTCAAAAATTTTCTTGTAATGAATGATTTAAGTCTATTAATTTCTGATAAGGTTAATATTCTAAAGGATTACACAGAAATCATGAAGAGATACAATTACTGTATATTAAATAGCTAAAAATTATTTTTAAAATTTTTATTTTAGAATATTGGTAACAACTTAAATATAGCATTTTAATAAAATTTAATAAAAAATTGATACTAGCAATACATTTATAAATGTTTATATAATCTAATGTTTTTTGTTTATTTAAAGAATGAAACAAGAAAATGTTCCAAGTGCAGGTTAGTAATTATTAAATTATTATATTTGTCTCTAAGACTGTTTAATAACTTAAATCTATGGTTCAGTAAAGTTTGATGATTTTTTCTTTAATATTACTTTCAGATAAATTAATGATAAACTTCTATTGATAATTGTAATGATGTTGGTGTATTTAAATAGCATTTTTAATTTAAATGATTTGAATTATATTGTTTATATATTTTGGAAAAATATATACTTACATCAACTTAATTTCTGAAATATGTGTATTAAATAAAACTTTATGAAATGAGACATCTGTTTCTATTCATTTTAGCAACAAAATTTATAATCAATTAATCATTTTAATATTCTAAAACCAAAGCTAAAATTTAGGAACTTGGAATTTTTTTTCTAGTAATGAGTTGTGTAACTTTCCTGGCAAAAAAAAATTTTTAATTGTGGTGGCATCATCTGTTATATTTTATAAAAAAAAAATTTATATTATTAATTATAATAAAATAGCAAAAAGCTTAATTTTGAGTATAGTGATAAGTTTTATAAAAAAAAATTCTAAATGCTAATAATGAATAAAAGCTTCATTAAGTCTGACCTCCACTGATGATATGATGCATGACTCCACTCAGTCTTTCCACCCTCCACCTTTAACCACCAAAATTTAATAGCATCATTCCCCTTATACAGAAAGCTTCCTGCAAAATTTCAGACGTTTTGACAAAATATACAGAAGTTATTAAGCTTCAAAGAGAGTGAACAAAATTGTGCCCCACACACACACACACATGCAGAAAATCCCCCCAAATGTTTTTGCATTTCTTGACGTTTTGAAGCCCTGAGTCCAAAAATGTAAAAATCTTGGGAGTGATTTTTGTTTTACTGATTGCCATACTTTCTCTGTTATACATAACAACTGGGAAAGTAATATAAAAATAATAAATAATAATATAATTAATAAATTGATACATAAAAATGATAAATTAATAAATGCTATATTTTTTAAAAATTTATATTAATAAGTAAACAAAACATACATAAATGATATCCATATTTTAATTAATTTTTATGAAGAAAATTCTAATACATTCATTCAATCATCCATTTTCATAAACATTAAAATTTACAGACAAATTTTTACATTATGGCAAGTCTTCAGAATACTAGGCATAATTTGAAATATAAATTAACACAGTGCATTATATCAAAATTCTACATCGTATATTACATAGGAGCAGTAAATAAATAAATTTGTGACATTTGCATACAACAGTTTCAAAATTGTTGGTGCTTTTATTTTAATTTTAAAAATAATAAATATAAAAATGATTACCTAAAATTTAAACTTGATTTATATAATGAGCTCATATTTATAACAAAGATGATACGTTTTCATATACAGTAGAACCCCTCTAATCCGTCACCTTTGGGACTGGGGTATGGTCGGAACGCAAAAAAGGTCGGATTATCAGAAAAAAGTAAAATAAACAATTTTCTCCTTTGTCCAGTCTTTGTAGCACTGCTAATTTTTCATTTAATGAAAGAGTAACGTGTTTACGTTTCACTCCTGACATGTTGAAAACACACACAAAACTGTACATGTACACACAATGTAAAACATATACAGGTATACCTCGACTTACGTCGTTCCCGATTATACGTCGTTTGTCAAAAAAAGTATATGGAAAAATAAAAATCAAATTTAAGTCATTTTATTCGACTTTACGTCTGTCCGCCACAAATATTGAAGTCGTAATATCACTAGAAAAATGTTTAAAGCACATAAAATCATATTAAAATATACACATTCACAAGTATGTACTGTATTTACAGTACATGCATTCGTGAATTTAGATTACTTTTTTTCTGTACTATATTAAAAACTAAAATTTATTTGTTTGTAAGCTTAAAATAGATCCTTATTAACCATACATTATTAAAAATGCATTAATAAATAAAATACAGAACCGGAATTGGCAATTTATTGTTCAGCCTAGTGACAAGTAGATTTGGAGACAAGTAAATTCGACTTACGTCGTTTTTCGACTTAAGTCGTTCTCCTGGAACCAATTACCGACGTAAGGCGAGGTATACCTGTACTGTAACGAACACATAAAACGCCACGGACGGTGAGTCACCGATGAGTCGGGACAAGTTTCTCGACTCCGATCACGGTCGGATTAACCGGAGTGATGGACTAGCTGAGGGCGGACTAGAGGGGTTCTACTGTAGATCATTTCTTTTATTACAGATAAAAGGAAAAGTCCCAAAGACTGTCCTTTTATATCCTATATCCATCCCCAAATATTAGCAAATATACATAAAAAAATGAAAACAACAAATTACATAAAATTAAAAATTATACATTTCCTTTTTACATTTTAATTTAAAACTAGAAAGATTAAGAAATAATAAATCATCAAAATTATTTAAATTTCAAGAAATATAATAAAAAAAAAGACTTTTGAGATACACTCAGATGAATTATATTTCTATATTTTCTTTTCCTAATTATATTTCTTATCATTGAAATTATAAAATGCATTAATTGAATTAATTATAAAATTTTATTTACTTTTTATTCTATTTAGCAATATCTCAATCACCAGCATCAGTTGATCTTTCAAATCAATTTGCTTCACCACTTGCAAGTGTAACTCCTCAAATTACTCCAGTACTTCTTCCACCAACTGTTTCTTTACCACCAATAGCAATGAATAATCATTCAGGATTATTATTTGAATCAGACGCTTATAAAGCTAAAAAGAAAGATGATTATAGAGATGATTTAAAACAACAGGTGTGTTTTTATTTCATAATAGAGTCTTTAAAAACTTATTCAAAGTTTCACTTGAATCTTAGAATGAAGTATATTATACAAAAATTTTTTTATTTAAATAATATATTAGTTATATAAAATAGTTCTGTCAAATAGGAGTGGAGCAATTGGGATGAATGCCCTAGATACCAAAATAAAGAGATGTGAAAATCTCATTTTTCTAGTTGATTAATGAATTTATTCATTAAATTTGCTGCTTACATAAACATATCATTGAAGTACACATATAACTCATTATCATCATTATTAGTTTCGATGGAAACAGTAGGATAATTAAAATTTTAAATTATTCAAGATATGTTTTATTTAATATGAACTACATTTATATCAATATCAATTTTTATTATAAAGATTAAAATATAGTGATGATAGATGATGATAAATAATAATAAAAATTTTTAGAAATATTTTCCAGAATTTTGAATAGAAATATTTACATCAGAATTTTGAGAAGCCCAAAATTAATGTAGGAAAGATTAAGATTATTCAGTTATATAATTATAAAGGAACATGTAGCAGGTCTGATATTCATAATAATTTTGTTTAATATGAAAATATTCCTATTTATTATAGTTAGATTATTTCTTATAAATACAGCTGAAAAAATATATCATACAGATATCCCTTGTATGACATGGTAATTATGGTAATTATGTAAAGTTTGCTGACTGTATGCAATTGTTAGGATGATCAAGGGATTGAGACAGTCATGGAGAAAGAATAGAATGTCCAATCAGAATGCAGGATACAAGAGAGAAATCTTTTAAAAACTTGTGTTTTTAAAAGATTTTTCTCTTCTATCCCACATTCTGATTGGTCTTTTCTTGTCTCCTGGTGACAATTTGAAACTTTTGGGGCACGGTAGTGGTAGTCATCAACACTTGACCTGATCCTGATCGGCTAAAACTCCTTCAAACTTTGAAATTTTCCCTTGTAATTCCAGCCTTTTTTTTTTTTTTTTTTTTGACAGAAAGAACTTTTATTGTTTTCAGGAGACCTTAAGTCTTGCTTTGGGTTTTAATTTCAAAACGTGAGAGTTTTACTGTCCTGCTGGATATTCATTATTATTAAGACAAAATTTCAGGTTTTGTCCAGGGCTTCACAATTACATTCTGAAAAAGCATTGCATTATCATATTTGTGCTATATGAAACAAAAGACTAATAAAAGACATGGGTTAGGTTCCAAAAGTTAACAAAAGTATACTATCCTTTTTTGTTACTAAGAGAATTATGTTTATTAAAACAAACAATCAATAATTTATTTCCAGTCAATAATTAACGAACGATCACATTCAAATTACTGTATTATGCATTAATTAGCATTAATTTTAGTTAAATGAGGGTGTTTTCCTTTTACAAATTATTGTCATCTTCTGAGCTTTTTTGTTGATGTTGGTCAGAAATATCAGCAACATTTTCATTTTTTTATTTTTATCATAATTTTCTATGGATGACAAAATCAAAATATGTTATTAATCAAAAATTTGTTCTACTGGGTCACATTTGTTCAGTCAAGTACCAAGTGATTTTTTTTTTTTCAAGAATTTTAGTTCAAATACTGAATTGTTTGAGTTGGGAAGAATTTGAGTATCAAGATATTGCTGTATTTCGTTCATCATTTTTACGAATGATTACTTAACTACAATTTTAAAAAATTTAACAACACTTACCTAAAAATGTTTAAATAAACTTTACTAAATATGAAGGTTAATCTATAAAAACAAAATGCAGTGACAGTCTTAAAAATTAAAGTCTGAAAGCAAAGACAACACCTGGTTGACAGGAAAGCTAGGACAAGGAAGAAAAAAATTACACTATCAGTTTTCATTAAAGTAAACTTGAGCAAAAGAACAAAGCAAATTGAAAATTTCAATATTCTAAAATCTGTTGGCAAATTTGAGACAAGAAGCATGATTACTTGAATAAAAAATATCAAATAATGGAATTTACACTTAAAAATTGTGAAATTTTGTATGCAGGATTTCCTAAATCGTGTTGTATGAGGGATACCTATACATACATACATACATATGTTATGCTTAATAAGTCATTTATTTTTAAAATCGATCATTATCCTGGCTAATTTTGAAAATAATAATATATAAGTGGCTTTTATTTATTATTTATCAAGGTACAAAAAATACAAATAAATTAACAAAGAATGATCATAAAATATCAGATATAAGTTGAAAAGTAGTATTATAAATGTTTTTTATTTTTACATGAGGAATTTTGGTGCATACTATAAGTATTGCAGAAGTTATATTAATACAGAATAGTTTATTATATAAATTACTTGATTAATTTTTTTTATTATTTGATTTTATATACAGTAATACCACGACTTACACTACCCCAACTTACGCGAACTCAGAGTTACGCGATTTTCAAATCTTGTCGATTCCTCTTTTGTTTGAGTGCCATGCAACTCTTGATTACTCACTCCCCCCACACTATTGTTCAGCTTACATGTTCAGACGTGTCACACGGAATCAACATATAGCTACAACTTATTTTGCGTTATTTATTTGTGTTTGTTATATCTGTGGAGACTTGAGAAACTCTACTATGTCATCCAAACAAAGTAGAACTGATTCTTCTGCATCAAACAAGAAAAGAAAAACTTTATCTTTGGAATGTAAAGTTAACATTATTAAAGATTTCGATACAAAAATGAAAATTTGTGAATTGGCAAAGAAGTTTGATCTACCGGAATTGACGATCAGAACAATTATAAAAGGTAAAGATAAAATTCTCGAAGCTGTGAAAAATGCTCAATCTTTAAATTCAAGCATCATTTGTAAACGTCACGGTATTATTGCTGAGATGGAAACAATGTTAAAATTATGGTGTGATAATCAAGTAAATGTGAAAAATTGTATAATAATATAATTTGTTACACATGTATTATCTAAGATTTTATTAAACATTTTTTTCCAAATTCTTGTTTTCTTTAGTCTCTGGCCCCAATTAAAAATTATTTGTATGTATTTAAATGCTCCGACTTACGCGAATTTGACTTATGTGGTTATCACTTGGTCCCACCTATTGCATAAGTTTGGGATATTACTGTACATAAAATTTAATTTGGTTTTTTTCTTTTTATTTTCAAACTTTGTGTAAAGTTTGTTTTAAAAACATTGTTTATATTCCCTGAAAGTCTTTGGAGGTTACATGTTATCTATGATTGGCTTATCATTACTGATTTTAATAATATCAATAATATACATAGTATTTTGCAAAATTCTCTTAAGAATTTGTATTTTCATTATTAAAAGATTGAAGAAAAGAAGCGTCGCATTGAAGAAGAAAAAGCAAGACAACGAGAAGAAGAAGAAAGATTAGCACAACGAATTGAAGAACAAAGACTTCTCATGCTACAAGAATATGAAATAGAAAGACAGAAAAAGATTCAAAAAGAAGAAGAAGTAAGTTATTTTATGTGTAAATGAGTCAAAGTGGATTAAATTTTTAAAAATATTTTAGATAATTTATATATGTATTCATATAATTTGAGAAATTAATGAAACTTGGTACCATATTTGAATATGGTATCAAGTTTCATTCATTTCTCAAATTAGATTTAGCAGTTAGCCAAAGTTGACTGAATAGTAGTCTAGAAACGTTCTTAATTAATAAAGTCATATTTTTTTGGCTTCCTTAACAGTTTGTTTTCTTTTTATTTATACATATTGTAGTATAAAGAGACAAAGATGTTACCTTACCAAAAGGTTTTATTCGTGTCTAAAACACGCGACTGTTACAAATCAAATGCAGCGAGAAACAGTGCTGCCAGACCAAGAGACTACTACTGTAGGGAAGAGTGTTGCCACCCTGTGACATTACTACATTCTCCCCCACTTACATTACATAATATATTCCTTCAAATAACTAGGCTGACGGCGTTGTCTTGCAGGACGAGGTGACTCGATTACTTCTGTTGGGGATGAGAAAATATCTTTTTCTTCTACTTGGGAGGGATACAAGTTGCTCTCACAAGGTGGAGGAGACGTTGCCTAGACATCAGAACTCTCTTGATCAGGAATCTGGGCTGAGGAAGGCTGTGCAATCTTTCGAGGATTCAGACAAGAATTCGCCTTGAGGCGCAATATGTCTTAGGGACACTGTCGATGTCCACCCATAGGGGTATTGAATGTGATCGTACTTAGGATTAACCTCCAATAACTGGACTTCCTCTACTAGGGGGGCATATTTATTGGTGCAGTTATGTGAACGAAGTAGGACAGGTCCCGGTGACAACAACCAAGTGGGAAGGCCAATACCCGTTCCTGTCTTACGAGGATGACGGAAGAATCTTTCATGAGGCGTAGAATTCGTAGCAGTGCATAGGAGAGAACGAACAGCATGTAATGCATCGCCTAGTACTTCTTCCCACTGGTCGATACTTCGATTAGACGAGCAGAGGGCCAAGGAGATTGACTTCCAAATAATACCATTATAATGCTCGACAAGACCATTACCCTGGGGTTTATAAGGTGTGGAGAAACTAGAAGCAACTTCAATAGAGGTGAGGAAGAAATGAAGTTCACAAGATAAGAATGCAGCTCCTCTATCAGAATGTATATATGAAGGGGCTCCAAAGATTGAAAACAGTTGATGAAGGCACTTAATAACAGTACTACTGCTGATGTCTGGGCAAGGGAATGCAAATGGGAATCTTGAATATTCATCTATTATTGTCAGAAGGTAACGGTTTTTCGACTTAGAAGGAAGGGGACCTTTAAAATCGATGTCTAAACGTTCGAAGGGAGACGTGGCTTTAATAAGGTGGTTTGAAGTACTAAGAAATTTTGGTTTTAATTCCGCACAGGTAGGACACGAAGCAGTTAGTTTCTTTATTTCTTCCAAGGAAAATGGCAAGTTCCTGCTATGCACCCAATGATAAAAACGAGTTACTCCAGGGTGACAGAGGGAGTTGTGGAGGACAGAAAGTCTCTTCAAATCAGGAAGGGCACAGCAAATCCTTGATAGAGCATCAGCAACGGTGTTCCGACTACCAGGATGGTAAATAATATCAAACTTGTAACACGACAGTTTCAATCTCCACCTTAGAATCTTATCATTCTTAATTTTGCTATTAGATTTAGAATGAAACATGAAAGCTACCGAACGTTGGTCAGTAATTAATGTAAAATGACGTCCAATTAAGAAATGTCTTCACTTCTTTAACGCCTCGACTATAGCGTATGCTTCCTTCTCTATGCTAGAGTGTTTTCTCTCACTACTATTCATGGATCGAAAGAAGAAAGCCACGGGTTTACCTTCCTGAGACAATGTAGCACCGATGGCAAAATTAGAAGCATCTGTTTCAACAACAAAAGGCACATTGTCTATAACAGGAGTCAAAGTAGAGCGAGATATCTCAGCTTTCAAATCTGAAAAGATTGTGGCATCCTCAGTTGGCAGAGGAAACGACTTACTCTGGGCTAGAGGTTGAATTTTCTCACTAAATCCTTTTATCCACGGGGCATAGTGGGCCAGCATTCCTACTGTTCGGCGAAGAGATGTAATATCCGTAGGGAGAGGTAATTCTAGCAAGAGGTTTAGGCGCTCGGGATCTGGACGTATAGCTCCCCTTTCAATTAGATAACCTAATATACAAATAGATCTAGAAGAGAATGAACATTTCACTTTGTTGAGTGTTAAGTTATACTTAAGAGCCATGTCCATAAAATGAGTAAGATTACGATCATGTTCTTCCTGAGTTCTTCCACAGATGGTGACATCGTCCAAATAAGCAAATGTGTCGACTAAGCCTTCTTTAACAATCAACTGAGAAATAGAACGTTGAAATCCAGCAACTCCATTTGTGAGGCCAAAACTGATCACCTTAAACTGCCACAATTTGTTACAAGCTTCAAACGCTGTGTAATGTCTGTCTTCTTTCGGAATGGGAATTTGATGGTAGGCTCGACGCAAATCTATAGTGCTGAAAACTTTATAAGAGGCTATTTTCTGAATCAAGTCATCAATTCTAGGGAGAGGGAATGCATCCAACTCAGTAAACTTATTAATAGTGCAAAGTAGTCTATAACTAGCCTTTTCTTTGGACCAGGTACAATCACCACCTGAGCCCTCCAAGGCGAGTTACTTTCTTCAATTAGACCCTCAGCTGTCAACCTCTTAATTTCTGCATCGATAAAATCCTGATCTGGTTTAGAGAACCACCTAGATTTAGTAGCGATAGGCCTAATGTCTTTATACAAATGTTCGAAGAGATGGGCTGGTGGCACATTTGCGAACACTGCAGAACAGATCGACAATGATTTGTGAGAGCCACCAAATTTGAACGACACATCAGCATGCAAAGCTAGGAAATCGTGCCCTAAAATTAAATCAGCACATAGGCCAGATAAAACTGACAGCGAAACCTTTGGATAAGTATGACTCTTTAAGTTAATAGAAACTATGCACCGACCCCTCACAGTTGAACTTAAAGTGGTTGTAGCCATAGAAACTTGAGCGGAATGTGGAATAATTCGGAAACAATGACACAGTGCAAAATTATAATCTACGAAACTTTCGGAACTGCCAGTATCCACCAGGGTCCGAGCTAAGATGTTGTTTAGACATATTTTAATGGTAGCTCTAGACAAAGGGCTGTGAGCAACAGTTGCCAAGGTTACAGCAGCCGTAGTCCCTTTGCTTTTACAAACTCTAGAAAAATGTCCCCTTTTTCCGTATTTGTTGCAATCTTTATTTCTAGCAGGGCATCTGTTGCGAAGGTGTTTCACGTAGCCACAATAAGGACACCTACGTTCAGTGGCAGCCAGCACATGTGAGGGTAAAGCATTTTCTTTGGCATTATCTAAATTCTCTTCCACCAACTCCTTTTCATTGGCGATATGGATAGCACTTACTGTACTAGTATTAGAGACAAAAGTTTCAGACTAAACAAAGGTAGATTCTAAGGCACGGGCTTGCAATAAGGCATCTACGAGTTCTAAAGTATGGCTTTCCAAAAGGCGCTGCCGTATCTGGGGCGATAGCAATCCGGCAATAAAAGCGTCGTGTACTTATTCATTTTTATACTCCTCTGCCGAGACAGAGGTGAAGTTGCAGTCCTTACTTAATGTCCTAAGATTCTGATAATACTGGTTAGTGGACTCACCGGATTGTTGGCGACAATTAATTAAACAATGACGAGCAAAAATTACATTTATAGGCTTCTCGTATAAGACAGTCAAAGTCTTAATGGCGTCCTGAAATCCGGAGCACTCTGATATATAAGAGTAGACTAAGGGACCCACGAAATTAACAAGTAGACTGAACCTCCTCACATCATCCATTTCCATTGACGAAATGAAGTTCTCGAATGTTCTGTACCAGTGGGACCACTGTTGAGAGGAACCACTAATATTCGGATCGACATTAAAATGTTCAGGTTTAAGAAGACTATCCATCCCAAGTAGTTTTAGACACAAATAAATTGTAGTATAAAGAGACAAAGACGTTACCTTACCAAAAGGTTTTATTCGTGTCTAAAACATGCAACTGTTACAAATCAAATGCAGCGAGAAACAGTGCTGCCAGACCAAGAGACTACGAGTGTTGCCACCCTGTGACACTACTACACATATAATTTGAAAAATTTGATAAAAAAGAGTTATTATTTTGTTTAGATGTTAAGAAAAAATTTAACACTAACAAATATAAAATACTGTATATCTTCTGTAATTCTATTTTCTGTTTTTTTTTTATAAAACCAACTATTTATTTAAGTTGCCAATCAATATAATTATCTTGTTTTATGTTTACTAATTTTAAATTAGATGATATAAATTTATTTTTTATGAAAAATAATGGATGATTTACATTTCATTAAACTATCAGGAATAATAATATTTTTAAGGTATTGAACATAAGAATTGAATACTAATTTTCTAATTATACATGTAATTATGAACAACTTAATAGTTGATCCACTAATAATTTAAATATTTAAATTATGCAGAAAGATTAATGGAGTAGTATTAATTTTAGTTAAGGAAGAAACAAGAAAGACTTTGGCAGATCCAAGAACAACAAAAAAAAGAAGCTGAGGAAGCAAGAAAATTAGCTTATCAGAAAAAGTTAGAAGCAGCAGAGAAAATGAAAATGGTTACTTAATTTATTTTCTTTATTGTTTTTATTATAGGATTTATTAATAAATTATCAACATTAACATTAAAGTTTTTAATAATTTTCTTCTTCTAACTTAGGAAATTCTAACTTAAGAACTTAAAATAGCAAAATTAGCTGCATGAACCTCATAATAATGTTTAAGTATAGCAAAATATAAATTAATGGAGATTGCTTGAGATTATTCATTGAATACAGTTCTAGATTATAATCTTAACTTTTATAAAACTTTATTTTTTCTCCTTCTTATTTCTCACAAATACTCAAACCAATAATGAGAATCAAATACAAGTTTATTTCACTTGCATAAACAACAACCACAAAGTCATCAAGAAATCTGTAATCTTTTATTTTTGACAAAAAATTGCCAGTACAGAAATTTTTTTTAATGTTGCAATGAATAGTATATTCAGCCTCAAGCCGAATACCGAATATTCGGCCAAACTATTTGGCTTGATGAATGCACATATGAAAATTGGCGCGCAAACTGCATTATGGCGAGGACCCTGCTCTCTATTGGCCCGCTGTCACTACACTTCGACAATCGTATTAATTCTTGACAGTTGTAGCGGACAGACAAGAGCGTCATGGCAGTATGTGATAAATAATGATATCAAATGTGGATAACAATGAAATGACCTACATGTGTAAATAATGGAAAAAGAAGAGAGAAGGACCATGAAGTGAAAATGTGAGAATAAACAAGAAATTGAGTTGATAACATAATCAAACAAGTGGAGGCAGCTTATTGGCACGAAATTACGGCCGTCAATGCCAAACAATTGTTGTCATAGACTTCAGAAAGCTAAATGCTTGTAATGAAAGTCACTTAGCCTGTACGGGCAAAAGCCTGGGGCCGTTCGGGCTACCAAGCTGTTTCGAATTTGTGAAATCATAACTGTGATTTATTCCAACGTCCTATGTATCTCTTTTCTCCGTTATCACCAGGATACAAGTCACATAATTGTAAAATGGGAAATCTACAATGGAAAAGTGACGAATCGAAAGTATTGTGAGCGTGTATTATGATGTATGCATAGGCATACATGAACTAGAGCGATAGAGGAAAGAGAAAGAGAAGAGCAAAGATGAGCACTTAAAAAGAAGGATAGGCAGGGTCAGACCCTCAGATGTGTGACGATTCTCGAACGAATAGGTGTGAACGTGTGTATGTATGTGTGCTGATCATTGTAATTATAAATTGTGAATACATGTGACTAATATTATTTTCTTTTTTATTTTGTGCATGTTATAAGCTATAAATAAATATAAACAAACAACACTAACCCGATAACATTAAATCTAAATACCAAAATGATTAATTTACTGTGTTTTTGTTATTTCTTACTCCCGTTTTTAGATATTCAGTATTCGGCCGAATAGTGATTAAATATTCGGTATTCGGCTGAATTGCAAAAAATAGGCCAAATACCAAATAATAACCAAATATTCGTTACATCACTAATTTTTTTTAACTTTACAAGATTTAAGAAAAATTCTTAAATAGACAATACAAAAAAATTGTGTCTTCTCACTTTTTTTTTTTTTTTGTATTTTCTATTTAAGAATTTTTCTTAAATCTTGTAAATTTCTTAAAAATTTCTGTCCTGGCAATTTTTTATCAAATGTATTTATTTTTTAATATTCTGCCATCACCATAGGGATCTTTTAATGTTTACATATTGAGGCAGACAAGTAGCCTCAATTAAAAGGTTGACTCTGCTGTAGAACTATTATTTTCCTCACTTGCCTGTGAATGGACAAGTGAGAAAACACACTTTTTTTTTTTTTTTTGTCTATTTAAGAATTTTTCTTAAACTTTGTAAATTTTTTTTATTGTTTAAGTATTATTTCATTTACTTTATAATTTATAAAATTAATAATTCCAAGCTTAAATTAAACTAGTTCTTTACAAATCATTATAATTTAAACATGAATAGAAAAATGTACGAAGGAGAGTTTAGCAAAAGGCATAATTTCATATTACAAATCTTATGAACAAAAAGCAACAGTTTATCACTTTTTGGGAGAAATCAAAAGGACAAGCATTTATCACATCATTGAATAAGAATGGAATTGAGGGTTATGAGCTTCAAACTGGGTATTCAGGGATACTGAAGATGAAAAAACAATGAAAACAAAGTAAAAGCTTTGTTTCATAAGTATCCATCAATGTCCATAAGAACTGCAGCCCAGAAATTGAAAATTCTAAGGTCTACGATATCCTATATTAAAACAAAAATAGTGCCTTCAGAAATGTAGAGTTTAGATACATTGCTAAATCGGTCCATTGCTTTCGAGATAAAATAGTTTGTAGAATTTAGCTTGAGATTTGATCTTTTCATTGTAAGTGACTTCTTTTAGGTCTTCTCCATGATAATACTTCTTGCCTGATACATCTGAAGGATTGAAGGGAACATACATTTCATTATCAATAATGAGGATTTTCTTCAAAGATTTTTTGTACACTCTGCAACATCCTGACTTTGCTTGGATTTCCTGACTGCCAGAGTACTTGGATACAGTACATATTGTTTTACATGTGCCTTTATCCCCAGCTTTATTACGAGTGAATTTTACTTAAAAGAATGCATTCAAGGCAGGCTTATACCTTTCATAGATCAACATTACAAGAGGGATATTTTCTTCTGGCCAGACATAGGAATAGCCTATTATGCAGGAAAAATCACCAATACCTTAAAAGAAGAAAATATCGATTTTGTACAGAAGATGAAATACGCTCCTAACGTCCCACAAACAAGAGGTGTCAAAAGATTTTGGACACTCTGCAAAAGAGAATTGGAAAACAAAAGTTCAAATCTTATTGAAAGGATTTCAACAAATTTGGCAAAATATCCGCAATAAGATGTCATAGGAATCCAGAAAAGCTGTGATGGACAAAGCTGCAAGAAAACTTCAAGAAATAACATATAAGGGTACTAAATGCAACTAATTAACTGAAGTTCTAAAGACAGTAGATAACTTGTATGTGTTCATAAAAGTGATAATTTTATCATAACAACATTTCATTTTAAGTCTACAGAAATTGAATTTTTGTCTCCCTTCACTTTGGACATGACATGCCTTACTTACAGTATTTACTTGCATATAAGACAAGGTTTTCATTCATTTTTCACTGCTTCAAAAATCTAGGTTGTCCTATATGTGCAAGTGAAGGATTCTTTGTGTTTTTGCAATAATTTTTGTGAATTGTGTATTTGCATTTTTTACTGGATGCTCACCCACTGGTGTTTAAAAACAAAAGTATTTTATCTGGGTCGTTTGAATCATTCTTGTGTATTGTCAGGAGTAAAGATGAATAGCAACAGGAAAAGCAAAACTTTTAAATAAAATTCCAAATTCACATGGGAGCCTGGTATAATTTTAACCCATTCCCACATGAAAACAGATGATTGTTCAGAAATCAGAATTTGGAGAAACACATAAGTGTAATCGATGGAGAATGGATTCAATGCTAGGAATTGGCAAAAAAGGTTCGCAATTGTCCAACTTTACATGAACAAATGATGTCGATTTTACAAGATTTTCCCTTAAAGTTTAAAATGCTAGTAATTTTTGCAGGAAAATGTGTGCATTTACATGCATTTGATATTTTATTTGTGATTAAATGAAATAAAATTAGAATTGTATTAATAAATCTAATTTTTTAAATTTTGATCTTTAAAGTCACGCCTTGTCCTATATGCCAGATCATCTTATATGTGAGTAGATATTGTATAATACTTTCAAATTTAATTACAAGGAAATTGCTTTTAGCCCTTGGCATAATTAAATTAAATTAAATATCTGCTGTGATGATGCTGGTTATTGGACACCACATGTAAGAAACGATATACATTAAACTACCTTTTTCGGGAATACAATAACAATAACAATATCAATTTATTTTCCTTTAACTTTAACTTACATTACACTATCTTTCCTTTGTCCTTTACACTGCTCATTTTGATATCCCAAAAAAATTTACTTGTGAGGCCAGTTCGTGGACAATCTGTTTCAATCATCTTATATTACTAATTAAAACTAACTTATCTTAAATTAACACTAATATTACTTAAAATAAAGAAGGAAGAGAAGAAAATTGTGTTAGTATAGGATCCCCTTTCTCTTGTTCTGCAAGTTGGGCACTTAAGGTGTCGACCACAGTTAATAAAGAAAATTTAGCCTCACCACATGGTTCACCTTAGTCGAGATAAGCAGTCCACTCATAACTTCCTTTTTTTCATCTTCAATCACAAATTTCGAGCACTAATCCTCTATGTCTCCATCACATAGACTTTTCTCTTGTGCTCCTTCTCCTGTGTTGCCAATGTGCCTCTCTTCTCCTTCCCAACTCTACTCTCTCATGTGCCTCTCTTCTTGTTCTTCCTGACCAAGAATGCCAAAATTGTCCTTCTCTTTGGTGGCATATGTTGATTTTCCTTTTAGCCCAAAACTAGTCAAAGAACAACAATAGGAAAGGATAGAGTTAATTGGACATAGAAAGAGAATATGTACAAATTATAAATTTGCTAAGTATAACCATAAAAAAAATATATACATTGTGGGATCCACCACACTACTAACGTGAGGTAGATATTTTTATATTATTCATTCTTATATATATAAGAATGAATAATATAAAAATAATTTATGTTCAAATATCAAATATTTTTATGAATTATTTTATTATTTTGTAATTGAAAATTAAACAAAATTATTTTAACAACATCTATTTATTATGCATCTTATGATAATTAACAATGTATGATTATTCAATTTAAATATACAGTGGTACCTCAGTATATGTCTGCTTTAGAATATGTCCAATTCAGAATATGTCCTATTTGGACAAAACAAATTTTGCTCGGTATATGACTTTTGTTTGGTATACAACTTAATTCAATTATACACGCTATCTATGAACAAGTAGCACTATCAGTGTACTAGACCAGACTAGATATTTGCGGTGCAACGGTTTATAATTTTGTTAAATTTCTTCAGATTTTAATTTGTAAGTAAAATTTTATTTTTATTAATCATGAATTGCAAAAAGGCAAATGAAAAGCAACATAAAACTAAAAAGATGACTAGAATCACAATGGAACTGATAAAAGAGATTGTTGAGAAATATGAAGATGGCATGCGTGTTCAAGATTTAACTGTTGCATACCATATTCCGAGAACGACGATATCGACAATCGTGAAAAATAGACATTATTAAATCTGCTAACGTTGCGAAAGGGGTTAAATCAATTTCTAAACAGAGATCAAAGACATTAGATCATGTTGAGAAAATGCTTTTGCTTTGGATAATTGAAAAAGTGTGCTGGAGACAGCGTATCAGAAGCAATTATTTGCGAGAAAGCTAAAAAGATACATTTTGATCTCATGAAAAATCAAGCAGGAACTAGCCAGGAAAGCGAGGTGTTTAATTAAAGCCAGCCATTTTTTTTACATGAGAACGGATTAATCATTTTTACATTACTTTTTATGGGAAAGGTTGGTTTGGTATAAGTCCAAACATCAGGAACGGATTAAGTTCGTATATCGAGGTTCCACTGTAATATAAATAATCATATTTTTACAACAACTTTGAATTTATTACTTTTAATGTAGTAAATTCTAATTGAGCAAATGAGAATTTACTATATTACTTTTACTTCATTTATTTTATATTTTATTATCTTTGTTTTATTTTTACATGAATCATTATATAGGCCTATTTATTGCGTAGGGAGGCTCTTATTGTCTTTGTGTCATTGCCTGTAATTTTGAATTTAAAGAAAGTTAATTAAATGTTCAAAATTTTGAGTTTTTACTTTATATACTAAACCAATGTATAATTTTTAAATTTAGATGACCAATTTAACTTCAGTTTCACCAAATGTTCAACCACCAAAAATGCCACCAAAAATTGAAGCTCCACCTCCAGCACCTCAAAGACCTCCATCACCACCAGGTATAATACTGAGAAATTATAAATTATATTACTGTTTTTAATATAAATTATATTTAATATGTTTAAAAACATATATTAAAAAATAAAGCATGAAATTTTGTTTCAGAAATTACAATAGTTAACAAAATAGTTCTTTTACATATAACTTTTACTTTATTTAATAAAACTTAAATAATCATTTTTGACAATATTTTCAATGAAATTATATGTTAACACAAAAATTTTTTATAGTTAATTTAATTATAATTAACTTATAGTTAATATATTTTCAATTAGACCTCATATTTAAGGCCATTATAGCATTGCAAAAGATCTTGTTATAGATTTATGGATTCAGAAAAGAGTGGAATTATATAAAATATGTATATACAATCATTTGCACTAGTCTATTTTTTCCTGATAGAAATGTTGGAGTCAATGATTGAAGTTATTATTAAATATTGTATAACATTGATATATACATCTCATTGTGTTGTGCTGATGTTTTTAAATATTTTTCCTGTTGTGTAATAAAAGGTTGGTAATGCTGTTGACCCCTTGGGGAACAGTTGGCAACAGTGACCTTGTTTTACTCTCTCCGTTTTAGATCTGACCTTCCATGAGTCAAGTTAGTGTTATCATTTGCACAATCTTTATTCCTTTGTCACATAACCAGTTACATGAGTCTAACCAGTTTTCCTAATTTCCAAAAAAGCAAACATCTAGTCTAAAAAGAAATGTTACATTCAAATAATCCAAAAGAGTATGAATTTACACAAATAGAATTGTCAACAGAACATTTTAAATCAATTAACCTAAAGCTGTCTTATTAATTATATGTACAGTTTAAAAAATAGATCACAAAAAATACATCATTATATACAATAAGGGGCAGGAGGTCAAGCGTATGCACACACGCACAATCACATGCATACACATGCACACACCAGTTACAGAATAACAATTGTAACATTTTGAAGTTCAGTAGCTAATGGTCCCCCTCAAACGGTTTTTCCTTTTTAAATGTTGCCAGTTCTTTTAATTTTTAGTAGTTACATTATACTGTTGTAATTGTTCCTACTACATAAAATCATAGAATATACAGAATGTTGCAGAAGTGTGTAGTAACTCTGATATATCAGGATATACCGAGTATGTTGATAGGGTAATAAGACAAGGACTTAACACTTGACCAGACAAATAAAACAAAGCAAAATTGTTTAATTTAGCAACAGTAGGATGTAGTCAGCTTTGATATATATGTTGTGGGGACCGAGTAGTATGGTCACAAAAACCAAAGGGAGAACAACAAACAAATACTTCCGTGTGACAACACAATTTCACGTTCTAATAATTACAAATATTTTTCACAGTTGCATTTACAACACACTCTTGCCTTCCTTCTCACGACTTTACATGAACAATCATTCTAATTGAACTCACTGAAGCCTGTTGATTACAAATGCGATAAAACACATATCTACTAATTTCTATTGATAAAAAATAGAAGTCTCACTAATGTCCTTGGGGAATTCTCGAGCACATTCTTTGCTCGAGAATTCGACCCAACAATTTCACAAAGATGAACATGGATTGCCTTAGTCCAGCAGAAACATTCCTTTGTTAACAATGGTGTGAGACAAGCAGGGGGTCGCAGGTAATCCAATGACCACTTAATCTGCATGAGATCTTGCGATCCAATCTCTAACTTTTAAGGAGAGCTTTAAAAGTGTTTATAAGAAAAGTGGAGACGTACGATTGTATAATCTGGTCTCCTGTCAGGATTCCCGACATCAGTTAAACTATTATTTCGTGGTTTAACTTGCGATTTATCTTTAATTAGAAATATCTGTGACATTTGAGTGACAACATCCGAGAAAAGCTAAGGGGTCAACTGTTGAGTGAGTTGGAGTGCATAATGAATAAGATCGTTTATATAACAATAAATTTAATATAACTATACTAAAGAATGAATACAAAGTAAAATATACAATTGAATCAAAATACAATAAATGGAGTTACAAATATTACATTCAGGACTTATCCCATAGGGAGATCAAACTATCCAACTTAAATCTAAATTTAACCTAAACTGCATGAAATCTAACACTTATGTGCGGAGAGAGAGTTCACACCAATCTATAAATCCATACTACCTTCAAGGGAGGAAATTCCAGGTTATATGCAGCCTATGTCTTCTAAGACTAATTACTTCATATGGCAAATTTGACTTAATCACTGATGAATTATGTAATTTCAATAACACTTTATATGGCCAATTCAGGCATCATTTTGATTGTCGTCGAACTGCCTCCTATGGCATGTTTGTACCTCATTGAACTGCCTCGTTATATGGCAATTACTTCTTTCGATGAACTGCCTGGAATGGCAGGAAAAAGCCTTTTTTATACAAGTCAACGGACTAACAGACAGCCAAGTGTTATGTGCAAAGGCTGCATATGAATCATCTCGCAAGTCGGCAGTCTAAAGGAAGTTCAACTTCCCTTCTTTTGAAAATGATGGAAGTTACATCCTTTCTTTGTTTAACTTCTCTCTGAAATAAAATATTTTTTTAGTTGAAAATAAAAACGTTCTTTTTACCCACTAATTTCTTTAAAAGTAATGGGCCCCTAAATCCTGATTCTCACAATGGTCTCGATGAACATCCATGTCGATGGTTTGAAGTGTTGAAATCAACAATCGCGATGTTTTGTAATGTTCTTCTGATGTAATAAAAAATTGGTGGCATTCTTGACCCCTTGGGCAAGGTGACCTTATTTCACTCTCCCCTTTCTAACACTGACCTTCCGTGAGTAAAGACTGTGTGTAATCTTTGTGCACTCTCTGTTTTTTTGTTACACAACCAGTTATGTTAATCCAACTGCCTTTTTACTAATCTCTCCGAAAAGCAACATCTAGTCTAACAGGTTATGGGCCCAGTTACGGCAACAACTAATTAAGCATAAGGAGAACAAAAAAAGGTAAATTCAAGAAACTTACATAAGAAGAATATTCGGCGAGAACACAAAAGATTTCACAATGGCCAATAAAAGTTACATTGCCATCACTAAATTGAACAACAACAACTATCATATTTGGAAATATAAGATGGAATTGCTGCTGATAAAAGACGAGTTATGGGACCGTAATACAAAAGGAAATACCCTCAGATCCTGACTCATCTTGGTTAACAAAGGACAGAAAGGCACGCACCATGATAGGCCTCCTGATGGAAGACAATCAACTGCCATTAGTAAGAAAGGAAACTACAGCTAAAGGAACTTAGAAAGCCATAAGGAAACACCATATTAAGTCTACACTATCAAATAAAGTTTACTTATTGAAGAAAATTTGCAATTTAAAACTAAAAGAAAACAGCGACGTGGAGATACACTTGGCCAACATGGAAGAATTGGTTGATCGTCTTATGGCACTGGGAGAAACTCTAGCTGAGAAATTAAAGATAGCATTATTACTTAGTAGCTTGCCAGACAGCTATAACACTTTAATAACAGCACTTGAGACTTGTCCAGAAGATTTAACTCAGGAGTTAGTACTGTAGTGCTGCGCTACTTTAGTATTGTTGTTTATGTATGCTTAGATATAATATAATTTGTGTATATAAATTATCTTCCATTACCACGTGTCAGGATCTACTTTTTGTATAATTGTTCGCGGAATATTATGTTGTGTCACTTTTCTTGCTACACCAACTGGTGTAGACTAATTGGTCAAGAACGGGGTCACGTGTTAAGAGAGTATTCATGAATGAGGGGGAGTATAAATTGGACCATCTCGTGTGTTGAAGGATCTTTCTTGGTTTTGCTTCGCAGTCCGATATAGTTCGTCTGGTAGCAGGAGATAGAAGAGTCAGCCAAGGAATGAATACATTGAGTGGAGGTACTGTATTGTAATCTGTTTCCATCCTTAAGAACTTATCATCAACAGCTTTGTGGTGTGCATGTACAGACAGTTTATAGTTAATGGACCCAAGTAATATTGATATTGTAAACGTATGATAGATATATATATATATATGAAATATGTCTACATATAGAAAGTGCATTAGTGGAGAGTCATGAACTGTTGTCTGATGATCAGAGATTTGGAAGTTTATGTAATAGAAGAACAAAGGAAGGTTGTGGCAGCACATGTTTATCATCTTGTAAATAATTGTATGTAGATTTAATGCAAATTAGTTTAGTATTTTAGTAATAAGTTTAGAATTTAATGTTTGTCATTAGAACTAAATCATGTCATCACTAAACTGTAGCACATTTGTACCTTGTAAACCATACTGATAGTTGGCACTGATCCTTAGTTGTTATTAAAACCATTATTTTGTTCTAAGTAGAATTGTACAGTCCTTAAATGGAATAACATACACCCAGACTCAATATATTCCAATATATTAGAGATCTAAACAGTACATAATAAATTAATTGAGGAACACTTAAGAAGAAAGACGTCATCAAATGAAGAATATGAAGCGGATAAAGCATTTAAAGTGGGAGCACACCCAGTAACTCAGAAAAGGAATTTGCTCAAAAGTTGTTATTTTTGCAAAAAACAGGGACATGTAAAGAAAGAATGTAGGAAATATGCAATATGGAAAGAAAAACACCCAAATCATATCAACAAAATTTATACAGAAAGTGATGAACAACACCAGGAAAAGGAATCTCATGTATGTTTTAAGACAGGAACACAAAACAAGATTCATCAATGGTACGTAGACTTGGGAGCTTTGTCACATATGTGTTGCAAGAAGCATTTATTCACAACCATTAATAGTAAACATAGAGAAAGAGTGATACTAGCCAATGGTCAAGCTCTATACACTGAAGATAAAGGTAATGTAATGATAACCTGCATGGATGAAAATAACGAACAACGTCAAATATATATGAAAGACATGCTATATGTGCCACACCTTAAAGGAAATTTAATCTCAGTCAGAAGACTAACGAGATTAGGGTTTGCCATAAAATTTGAAGGGAACATTTGCTCTATCCAGAAAAACAAAGTAACAGTAGCAACGGCAACAGCACACACATGTTTGTTTGAGCTAGATAAATCTCATAAAGCTCTTACAATAGTTAATAATATGAATTTCAAAGAAGAATATGAAACAAAAACAAGGGAACAAGAAATGGAAGAAACTGGCATACATTTAAGGAGGTCGGAAAGAACTATTAAGGGAGTACCTCCTATAAGGTTAATTGAAACAATAAATTTATCAGTGACTGATGATGGAGTAGAACTGAGAGAATATAGCGAGGCAATTGTAGGCAAACATTCCAAAGAATGGAGCAAAGCCATGGATAAGGAAATAGCAGCCATGAAAAATAATGACACATGGAAAATTACGAAATTACCTCCAGGTAAAACTGCAGTAGGAAGCAGATGGGTATACAAAATTAAGAGAGACAAAAACAATAAAGTTAATCGTTTTAAGGCTCATTTAGTCGCTCAAGGGTACACACAAAAGTATGGCTTTGACTACGATGACATATATGCCCCAGTGATCAAAACTGCCACCCTTCGAACACTCCTAACTATAGCCAGAATTAAGAACATGAAAGTTAAGCATTATGACATCGAAACAGCTTACTTAAACGGAGACTTATCACACGAGGTATACATGAAACAACCTGAAGGATACGAAGAAGGATCACCAGACAGGGTTTGCAAATTATTGAAACATATATATGGCTTGAAACAAGGAGCAAATGAATGGAATAAAAAATTCAATGAAACATTGCTATCTAAAGGATTTAAAAGAAGTGTAGCTGATTCCTATCTTTATACCAGAGGCCATAAAAGATCCTTACATTTAGCAATTCATGTAGATGACGTAGTAGCAATGGCCATAGACAAACATACGTTAACCGAATTTGAGACCAAAATCAAAGAAATGTTTAAAATCAAGAATTTAGGTGACTTAAAATATTATCTGGGAATACAATTTGAAAGAGATGAGAATGGAATATTTTCACTCCACCAAGAAAGGTATATCGAAAATAAATTGCGGGAATTTAACTTATCTGATTCAAGACCATATAATATTCCTATGGATACAGGATACTTAAGAAGAAACGAAATGACTGATATGTTCAAAAACAATAATGTATACAGAAGTGCTATTGGATCTTTATTATATCTAGTGACTAACTCGTGTCCAGATATTGCGATAAGTACTGTACATCGATATTAGTGAGAAAAGTAACAAAACCTTCGGAAAGTGATTGGGTGGAAGTAAAAAGAATCTTTCGTTATCTGAATTCGACAAAAAAGAAGAAACTTAAATTAGGAAGTATTAATGAAGAATTAGAACTTAAATGTTATGTAGATGACGACTGGGGAGGCGATTACATAGATTGCAAATCGAACACAGGATATTTGCTCTTGCTAAAAGGAAGTCCTATCCATTGGGTTAGTAAAAAGCAACAGTGTGTAGCACTTTTGTCCACTGAAGCAGAGTACATAGCCTTGGCAGAAGCTACTCAAGAAACTGTATGGATGAAACGGCTTCTAGAAGAAATAAATCTACTGATTACAACACCTATCAAAATATTTGAGGACAATCAAAGTTGTATTCATCTTTTAGAATTAGGAAAAGCACAACAGCGCACGAAACATATTGACACGAAATACCATTTTGTATGTGATTTAAAGAATTCAGGAGAAATTACTGTAATCTATTGTCCGAGTGAATGGATGACAGCTGACTTGTTAACAAAGCCGCTAGACGCAAATAAGGTTAAGAAATTTACTTGTGATATTGGATTGTATTAATGATCAATCGTTGAGGGGGTGTGTTGGAATCAACAATTGTGATGTTTTGTAATGTTCATCTGATGTAATAAAAGGTTGGTGGCACTCTTGACTCCTCAGGCAAGATGACCTCATTTCACTCTCCCCTTTCTAGATCTGACCTTCCGTGAATAAAGACTGTGTGTAATCTTTGTGCACTCTCTGTTCTTTTGTTACACAACTGGTTATGTTAATCCAACTGCCTTTTTATTAATCTCTCCAAAAAGCAACATCTAGTCTAACATGAAGTTCAGCTCTCTCCTTAACAGTCCATAAGGGAGACAGGAAGAAAAAGGGATCCACATGTGAAAACACCTTTATAACTCCTGCCATCCGAAAGCATGTTTTCCATCTGTGATACACTTCCTGACCAATTAGCAGGTTTCAATCAATTCATCACAGAAAAGGTGATACCAGGGCACAAAAAAAAAAATAATGCAAAGTTCTGTAAAAATTTTAAAACCTGACACAAAGTAAAGGAAACACACTTACATAACCAAATAAAAATACAGAAAAATACAGAATTTATACAACCCATAGTAGCGTAGTACTACAAGTGTTTGGCCAAATTCCACAAGCTTATAGAGGAGAAAAACACAAATGAAAAAGTTGACAGCTGTTGTTGATCTGAATCTTAATTGCAATTCATTAAACATCAAAATGTAGTGATGCCATTTCCATTTTTTAAGTCAATGTAATGTATCAGAAATTAAATTCATTTATCAATCACAATTCCTTTATTAAACATCTCATTTTTTTAGTTAATTCCTTTTGATTTAATTAATTTATCCAGTCAAAAATACCTTTGCAGCTTTTCATCGGTGTCTTTGAAAAATAGGGAGAACAAGATCCATACAAACTTCATATATGGAGGAATGTTATTGCTAGAATTGTTGAGAATCTAGTACAAGACAAATAGCTAGGATAAATGACTTTGAGTTATTCCAGTTTGAGTTAACTAGATTCCACTGTATTAGTTAATATTTTAAGAGATATTAATTGGCTTCAGTTAACATCAATTGATATTTTTAGTAGAGCTTTCTTAATCTGCAAGTTTTATTGTCAGCTATTATCATCTACCTTAAATACTAGACTTATTATACCAGTTGTAAAGGAATTATAGTATATTCAGGAAGTAATCCTTTTTTATTATTAATTCATTGACACATGAAGGGAATGCATTTGACATTTGTTTTAGTCCCTCATCACCCTGACAATGAAACTCATAAACAAATAATGGTGTAAGGCAGCGCTGTCCAACTGGCGGGCCGTATACAGCCCGCCAAATAATTTTTACGGCCCGCGAGTACATTTTACTATGAATAAATTTATGTTACTAATTTATTATTATTAATATTAAAATTATTTTACTACCGTGTTTCCCTGAAAATAAGACAGTGTCTTATATTAATTTTTTGCTCTGAAAAATGCGCTAGGTCTTATTTTCAGGGAATGTCTTATTTTTCCAGGAAGAAGAATTCACATTTATTATTGAATAAAAAAATTCCCAAGTCAAACTTAGACAAGAGTGACGTATATCCGGTGTGTCGAACTGTCGCCTTTTTATAGCGTCAACATCGGACTCGCTGACCAATTAGTGCTTACTGAACCGTAGCACTATGCAAATGTCATGTGGTTTATCAACCTTCTTGGCCCCCGAAATGTTTGGTGAAGAAAATATGACCCGCGGGCTATGATAAGTTGGACAGCGCTGGTGTAAGGAGTCAATTTTGACCCATTTTATTTTGTTTGGGGATTATTTTTTAGTTCATTTTCTTGTGCAGTAAGTTGTTACAACTAAACATGAAGCAATTGAAATAAATACTTTCTTAATCTATTTATGTACTAATTTGGATCCAAGAATTTAGGTATTTACAAGTCATTTCATTTTTAAGTTTTTAATTAATTGATCATTTGTACTTTTGTTTTCAAAAATTAGTTGAAGGATTGAGAATTGAAGTTCTTTTCAAAAAAGAAAAAACAAAAAATTTATTAATTTCAATTATTGATCATTTTAAAAAATTAATTTAAAAAAATAATCTTAACTATATTATTCGATATATCAGAAAAATCAAATAAGGTTTTAAATATTTTTATTTCAGATCCAAGAAAACAAGTACTTAATCAATTAACTCAAATTAGACAACAGATTCATGAAGAAAAGAAACAAAAATTAGAAAAATTAGAACAAAAAGTAAGTTTTTGGAATGCAGGTATCCCTTGCTTAAAGCAGAATTTGATTAACCTGCAAATTTAATTGCAGCAATTTTTTTCTACACAGAAAAAGTTTTAATTAACACAACTTTAACAGCTGTTTTTACTTAATATAGATATGTTTATCTCAGCAAATAAGGTGTTAGTGAATTTGCTATTTTCATTTATTTATATAAAAATATTTGTTATTAACCAAAAATATGTTCTAGCAGTTGGTGATTGTTTAGTTGAGTACCGAGGTAACTCTGTATTTGATTAATGTGATTTTGGCATATGCGGTAGCATTGAAGGATTAATTAACCACATTAATCAAGGGATACCTGTATTTTCATTATCAGGATAAATGTTATTTTCATTAGTATAAAAAATTTTCCTAATGATTAATTGCTGTGATTTAATTATTTATAAGCATTTAATTATACAGGGGAATTATACCATTAATAAGGTGAATCACCTAACTTTTTCACCTCGAATAGTATTTTAACTGTTGTTGCAATATAAAATATATCAGATATTGTTATAAAAGCTAAAGGATATTGATGAGGACATCTGATGTACATAATGAAATTTTTTAGTGAAATAATTTTTAAGATTTGAAAATCATCTTCATTGTTTTAAATGAACATCTCTCTGAACACATCTTCAAGATGGTTGGCTTCAGTGCCCTATAAATTACAGCACTGAAGCAAATCATCTTGAAGATAAAGGCCCAAATTCATGGGGTCTTCATTCATTCATTGAACATGCATTACAGGGATAAAGAGTTCCAAACTATTGCCTGGTACATCACTCTACATGGCTATTCTCCATACACTTTTAAAGACTTTATACATTGTCTCTCCACCACTTCCACCACACTGAACATTTGCACCCAGGACACTGTTTACAAGACCGTCACATGCGAGAGAAGACTATCCACTGTGTACAAAGAAATATCCAGGAACCATAATTTTTGTTTAGTTTTCTGAAGAAGTCCCTCAGTTTTCACCCTCCTCTGCAATGCTAAAGATAATTCTGACATTCACCTCCAACCAAGCAATACTATTCCCATTACTGATCACAGAACCAACTGCAACTTGGAATATGTAGGTGCTACAACACACCCTTTAAACACCTGCTTCAAAGAGCATTGGAATTCCATTCTAAAAGGATTGGCCAACACTGCGTTAGCTATCTTTGCCTCTGACCCCAACATAGATGTGCATTTTGACTGTGCATGACTCATACATCACACCACCCAGAAACATCATCTCAGACATTTAGAATAAGTTGAAATTTTTAAGGCCATCCACAAAAATAATACTGTTAACTTCTGTGATATAAATTTCTTCCCCCTTGCATGAAAGTTCTGCAAATTGTGAACTTTCTATCCTTTCCCCCTCCCTTTCTCTTTCTTACGTCACCTCTCCTCTTCACACATGTACAGCAATTCTCTGTTGTTTTAACAGCTGTGGAATCATTTATCCTGATGATGCCCATTTGACACTGATGAAAAACGTTAGCTATACCTTCTTTTTTCTACTGGTTATTTAGTTTTTTTGGCTTTTTTATGAAGTTTACCCAGTTGTGAGTGGTTGTGTTTTAAATATATTCATTTTGAAGATGACCAAGACAAAACATTTCTCACTTGTTTCTAGCTGTTTATAAATGAGAACAAATGTTTACGACCTTCTTAATAGGCCTTCTTCAGGTACACTGTGGTCTGTTAGAGCACCAGTTGATAGAAATTCAAACGGTGTCAATGTTTACGTAGGTATCATCTTAGCAGTGACATCATTGTTGATGATAAGGTTTAGATGATCTCTAACAGACTCTAACAGAGTCTGTACCTGAAGAAGGCCTATTAAGAAGGTCGTAAACATTTGTTCTCATGTATAAACAGCTAGAAACAAGTGAGAAATGTTTTGTCTTGGTCATCTTAAAATAGTTCTAGCTCCAAATGAAATTCAAATAGAAATTCAGTTTGAAATTAAAATTATAATATTTTTTCAAGATCATAAATTCAGAAATTTTAAATTAGAAATTTATAAATAAGAGAATCTATAAATAGTATATTTTAATTAATAATAATTTTTTATTGTATTTTACTATTTGCATTGAATGTAGTGAAATACAGTATAACAGTTTTTAATGTGAAATAATGTCTAATTCATTTCATTTAATTTTATATTTAAATATATTTTTCAGAAATTGTATCATGTTTTGGATAGACCTAAATTATCATCATCATCAGATTCTAATAATTCAGATATAGGTAAGAAATGTACCAAAACTTTCAGCGTACAATTTGCATTTTTTTTATTTATATTTTAACTTATATTTACATGTATATATAATATATGAAATTTTGTTATATATTAAATATAAAATCAAATATAATTTTCTGTTCTCTATCAATAAATGAAAACTTTGTTGAATCTCAAAAACATTTTATAAGAGGACACAAGCATAAATTTAACAACTGAACTTTAGGTTTACTTAAAACAAATGAAATGTACAGTCAGTCATTTACATAATAAATATAAATAACATATTTTTAGTGTATTACTTTCAACCTTATAATTAAACAACTAATAATAGAAACCATATCTATATTTTCCAATATATAAATGCTTATTTCTTAAATAAACTTAGAACAATTACATAAATATTATTCATTAAATTAAGATAATACTTTATATTTAATACTTAATCCAATTTTCTATTATAAGTATAAAATATTCAAATATTCATGTTTAACTCAGAGCATACATAAAATAAAATTATGAAAATCTGTCAGAATAAGTATTAACATTATTGTAATAACTTTAATATCATTTATACATTTAAAACTCTATTTATTTTTATATAAACAGGATAAATAACATTACAAAATTACTATATTTATAAGATTCCAAATCAAAATAATTTTGCTTTGAAGTTAATTATTTTAAAATCCTTAAATTTTTCTAATATTCTGTAACTTAATTAAAAATATGCATCCAGATATTTATAAAATATTAAACTTATTTAATATATTAGATCTGATTGATTGTACAATTAAAGAACAAAACTTATACTCTGTAAATTCACAAATCATGAAAAACAGGTTTGAAAAAAAAAGAAACTCATAGTAATTCTCTATTAGACAATCATTAGTGAATATATGACATTATAATTATATTGCAAATTTTATTTCTTTTGTAAAATTTATAACATTATTATATATTCTTTAAAGATTAATAACATTTTATCAATAAAAATAATACAAAACAAAACAATAATATATTTTATTAAATGTAATTGTCAAACCTTAATAATTAATCCTTAATATATAGGAATTTATTAATTATTACTAAAAGTTCAGTGTTTCTAAAATATATTAGCAAGGTTGTGGCCAAAGGTTTCAACACGAAAATGTGTGCATCGGCCATTCAGAGCCATCTTTCTGTAAGCCTGGAAGTTTGACAATGGCATTTGGAAAGTTGAGCATGATTCCACTGATGTTCCAAATACCATTGTCAAACTTCTAGGCTTACAGGAAGGTGGCTCTGAATGTCCAACATACACGTTTTTGCATTGAAAACATCAGCCACAACCTTTCTATATTTTATTATAACAAAAAAAAAAGTAGGTTTAAATTTCTTAACATTTATTTTTATTTATTATTTATTACATTTTTTTAATTTTTAAATGTAAATTATTCCAAAAAGATTTAAAAACTATATTTCAATTTCATTATTGTAATTCAGAATAAAAAACTATACAAAAATTATTCATATGTTTTATGAATATACAATATAATAAATTATTTCTAGAAATTAAAGACTATTTTTATTGACATCTAATAATTCTAGAAATATAATAAGCCATTTTTACAATTTAAAATTAAGTTTCTACCAGGTTGATGTACTAATTAATGTCTCATAATTCATTTATATTTATTTTGACTACATCAGTAAATTTGTTAATACCTTTTTTTACTTTTATAAGGCATTTTACTATGTCTTTATATCCATAAAAGTAAAAATTTATTTAAAAAAATAATCTTCTATCTTGAAAAGTGTTAGTCAAAATACTAGTGGAATCAAACTGAGAGATAAATTATAGTAAAAGTCTCTTTATAAAGTAATACATAAGTTTTCTAAGATAGAAAAAGGGCCCATACACTTTGCATTTTGTGATGTCCAACCAAGCATTAACCTTTGGAGAATCTCTTACCTGCTCCAAAATTTCATGTAGATGTTTGATGGCCTAAATCAGGAATGGGCAACCTTTTTCTATGTAAGGGTCACATTTCAAAACTTTGAACTGACATGGGCCCCATACAAGAGAAAAGAGGGAAAAATGCCAGTAAATCACAATTATATATTCATATATAATTATAAATTAGCATAGGTATACTTAATTTAGCTTCTGAAACTGATGTAAACATAATATATTGGAAATATTTGGTTAAATATTAGTCACTGCTAGTTATTAGTTTCAATATGTCTGTTAGCCAGTTTCTTGTTTTAATTTTTACTAAATTCATTGCAGAAAAACTATTCACATGCAAAAATGTAGAAAATAATGTTTGAACTTTTGCTACGTACTTCTTTAAGCTGGAAAATTGATATATTTATTCATATTTTATGCGACATGGGCTGTAAAAAATATTAATGCGGGCCGCAGGTTGCCCATTCCTGGCCTAAATAGTGCAATTATTCTTGTTCACATATCTACATATATGGAAGGTTGATTCATCACTGAATAAAATGTTTACTCATGAGATCATCTCTATTTACAGCTTCCAAAAGATCACAATACATTGCCTCAAGAGCTGGATAGTTATCTTTTTACAGATTGTGAAGCATCTAAAGGTGATAACTATATTTTTTCAACTTGAAATGTAGAGTTCTTCAAACAAACGAATGTAAATACATGTTGATGCATGAAGACTGATTGATTGCATTCTCATTGGATTGCACAGTTTCTGGTGATAGTGGAAGTTAACCAGTATATTTCTCATGATGAACACTTCTTGTCTGGTGAAATTTGTTTACCAAAGATCAGATTTCTGTTCTTGTTGAAGATGATTTTTGGAATTTTCTAGTAAACTCTTGTTTACTAGAAAATTCCATCTCTTCATAGGTTAAACCTCACAGACATTCTTCAGCTATTGATATTCTTTCTTTGGTGGTCAGCATGCTTCATATAATCTAGAAAAGAAAATGGTCATTCAACTTTTTCATTAAAATGAATAATTACTTTAGAAACATCCTGTAAAATAAATAATACTCAACCTCTTAGTAATCTGTCAGAAATTCAAAAAAAGAATACTTATCTTTTGTAATTATAATGTTTGTTTAATTTTTTGTACTTTAATTTTTTCCTGTTTCTTATATTTATAAAAAATTTTACAAGGTTTTATACTTGAAACATTTCATTAAAATTCATTTTTCAAATGACATTTTACCTAAGAAACTTTTTAGTTCACTTTTCAATTATATTTTCATACATATTTTTTTATATAATTTTAATTGCATTTTTATACAATTTTACTATTATATTTATACTAGCTGTACCTGGCCATGCATTGCTATAGCTCAAAATGTATCTATTATAAATGTATAACACTCCCCAAGGGAGGGAATTTCGAAAAATTCTTTCTTAGTGTACATTCTCTTGACACACTCTATTAAAACGCGATCAAAAATGCAAAAAACCGCATCTAAAATATTATGATAGAAGTCGAGTTCTTCACAGTAAGCCTTAATCCTGTCCCTCTCCCCTGCAGGGGGGGAATTTCGACATCTGCATAATATAAAAACACGTGCGTATTTGAATGCAACATTGAGTCAAAATTTCGAAGCAGTTGGTTAAGAACTTTTGAAGATTTAAGATTTTGAACAAATGAACATTTACATTTTCATTTATATAGATGTATTTAGAATATTAAATGTATTTATTTTGAGTATAGCAACAGAATGAATATATAATAGTAAATATATATAATGGACAAATATGCTTAATAATTTTATTTTACATGTTCAGTTGAATAAAGAAAATACTAATTTAAAAAATATATTCTTTTATTAAAAGCTTTCTTTTATAAAATGAGGCCATTTTCTTTCAATTCAAATTATGATTATTTTTTTGTCATACTAATAATTTATATTATTTACTATAATTTCTATATATAATTCATGTTGTATAGAAATAATAATTTTTTACAAATTTTAATTTATACTTTTAAAATATATTTCAGATGTAATAAATTAATTCAGGTTATGAAAATATTATAATTCAAGTCCTCCAATGAGTGAGTAAAATTACTTATTTTAAGTAATCTTCATCCAATTATTCTACAATTACTTTAACATGTACATTTCTCTGCTTTTGTGGTAATCAAAAAATGAAAGGTTTCTATTAAATCCATCATCAGAAATAGATGGGCTAGAAGATCTAAAAGAACTAATAAATATTTTGTTTTTTATGTTCAAGAATGCAAAAACAAGTGTGTTAAGCAATCTTATTATACAGTAAAACAGAACTTCCTGCCTCCTCTCTTTAAGAGAATTTGATTTTATGATGCAACATGATGTCTTTTTCTTATTTAAATAAAATTTACAAATTAATTTTAAAAATATCATGAAATTTTTATATGATGTAGAAATGACATAGCTAATTATGTAATTGATTTTACACAAAGTTTTTCATTTTTTTGTAAGTGAATAAAACGTTTTTTAATAAAAAAAAATTTATATAATTGTGTACAAAATGGGCTTAGACTTGGCCAAATATTACATAATGGATAGGGGAAATGCAGAAACCTTAGTAGGCCAGGGAATAATATCATAATTGGTCAGGGAATATCGGGGAATCACAGATGGAACTACCTGTACAGACCCTGTATGCATTTGCTTCTTTCATTTTATGTTAATTCCTTCTATATTGGTAAATAACTTAATTAACATTTTATTTTATTTCATTTCATTTAGATTCATTTGTTGATAGATAAATAGATATTTGATAGCACTTTAATCTTATTTGGAGAGAGGAGCTAGAATGATGATTATGTCAAGACAAGGTTCAGGTTTTGACCATAAGAAATAATGAATAAACCCATTTCTATTTATGAGATTTTGATTTGTAGGTTGTTTTTAAGAACAAGTTACGCTCATAAATCAAGCCCATTAATCAAACAGAATTTTATTGTTTTTAAGAAATATTTTCATCAAAGTAATTAACATACATCAATTACAAAATGTGTGTTTAATTTCTTTAATATGAAATAAGATAATGATATTCTAGCTCTGATTGAAAAGATTTCTTAAAATTACATATTTTTAAACTTGATTTTAATAATAATTCCTTTCATTTTATGTCAAGGATGATGCAAAGTTTCAAGGAGTTTCATAATATGCTTATAATATTAATAGATATACAAAATTGCTTAATATTTGGATATAAGATCAAACGTGAAATTTTAAAATTTATTATTTTATTCTATTATTTATTATGTTTATCATTAAATGATATAAGAATTAAAAAATGCATTCAGATTTTTCAGACAAATCTAAAAAATATAATAGAGGAGAAGGTGGTATTATGGAACACTGCGGGTATTATGGAATCACCCCATTTCGAACTGATAATAAAGGCGAACTGTAGCGGAATGTGGATGAACTGAACTAGGCAGACATCCATAGCAAGGGGAAAACCCGTTTTACTTCAGTTAAACGGTTGTCCGTATTTAATCAGCAAATTTGTTTTTTTCAAAATTCACAAGTTTTGAATGCTAAGTGAATTTAATTATTTTTAAAATATAAATCGCGTAGTTGTAGGTTCACTGGTGCATGTATTCCGTTCCAGAGACTTAGGGGTACATATTAATCTGTGTGATGTTCACGTTTTTTAAATTTTGGTCTCGACAGACATAAGTTAATTCGAGATGGCGATGCGTGAAATACGGACCCCTTTGGTGCTTTTACAGTAATATGGAACTCAACTCCTCCGAACTCTCTCTTTGCAATCAGACATTCGTCCGGAGCAATTTGGGAAAAAGACACTAGGTAGAAAGTCTGAAAATATCGAAAAAGAGCTGCTGGAATATATATTGTTGATGGAGGTCATATTTTTCTATTATAAAAGCATTTTTGCGATAAAATACATTGGAGTAAATAATTTTGTAATTATTTAACATTTTTTGTCCTTTCCTATTTGTTTTTGGCTACATTAAAGCATTTTTTTGAAAATATACAGTAAGGTTCCATATTACCACCCGATTTTCTCTAAGCCTACTTTCAGACTTTTTGTACAAAAGCCTTCAAAAACCATACTTATAATTACACTAGCGAAAAATCCAATTAGGAACATTTAGTTTACTAGTTACCAGTACTTTTCGCACAAAAAAATGTGGGTGTAGTTATGATACCTTGTTTACAATTCACTAAAATGTAATTGGGGTTCCATAATACCACCTTCTCCTCTACTTATTATATAACATTATTTTAAAGAAATATAGTAGTCTATTATTTTATATTTTCAATCATTTATTTAAATAAATATATTTACGTGTATATGCTGTTAAGACTAATATTTGTAATCTATTGTAATTTTAAAAAGTTTGAATGAAATTCTACATATCAGAGCATTTGTCTTAATGTTTTAGATATTAAAAATCTTGAAATGTAAGAAGTATTTAATAAAAACTTAAAGTATTAATTTGGAACTGGCAAATAAAAAGTAGATAAAATAAATTTTGAAAATTATATTAAATAATTTTTAATATATGTATATTTATTATTTTTTCTTATTTTTTTTCAGAAATATGCTTCCGTCAGTTGATAAATGTCAGAGTTAAAACTATTAGGATAAAGAAAATGTTTTAAGAATAATAGAATAGTAATTTGAAGTTTTTGTAAGCATGATGTGGAAACTATAATTAAATTAGAGTTAAATAATTGTGAAATTTTAACAAATAATAACTGTGATTCATGGAATAAATGTTTGTGAGTTAAAATAGATATAATATTTATTTTAGATTAATGGAGAAAAGAATGTCATAATAGTTAGTTATTTTTGTTATTTAATAATAATAAATGTTTTTGTATCCAATGTAATATATTATTAATTTAATTTAAACAGTTACAGTTATTTTCAGATATAAATTTCATGTAATAATATGAAATATATTTTTTACTTTCTTAAATTATATATTTTCTAAGAAATAAAATATTAAAGCATTTTGATTATGTTCTAGTTAATTTTATTAATAAAGGTAAATTTTATAAAATAAAAAATATCTGGTAATAAGCTAAATAAAAATAAATTTTTATAGTGTCATATGAAATATAATTTTATGTGAAAATTACTTCTAAATTTTTTGTCAAATAACTATTAAACATATTAAAATTTAATATTTGTTTTATTTGTATTAAAATTATTTATTAACTGCTCATTTATAGCATTTAATTTTTCAAAATAATAGATTATATTTCATTGATAAATTGTGAATTTTCAGATATACTATAGTACAAATTTGTTAATTGTGTATTAGTATAGCAGAACTGACAAAACAGAGAGAGAAGCCAAGGCTGTAATCTTGAGGCCCAGACCTATAAAGGGACTTGAGATGGAATTTGTATAATAAAATTTTATTTATAAAGTCTAGAAAATAAATTTATATAACTTCAAGTGCATAAAGAGAGAAAAATAGAAATGTGAAAAACCAAGTGCATCACATCAGAAGAAATAGAGGGGTTTATGTGTATGATGCCCTACAGAAGATATTCACTCTACTCCTTTATATCTTGGAAAGTCTCAGGACTAATGATCTCTCTCCATGACTCTACAGAGTAGTATACTATACTACAATGTAGAGCTAAGCATATATAAGCATTTTAAATTAAGATTTAAGACTAAAAATTATTATAGTCATTAATTAATTTAGACCAGTGTTTTTCAACCTTCTTGAATACACGACCCCTTTACAAGTTAAAAAATTCTGCCGACCCCCCTAGGGCCATATTGAAACTATTTCAGTGATTTTAAAAACTATGTATTTAATTTTCTTTCTGTTGAGACAAATTATTGTTGATTAAAATGAACACACATAAAGTATGAAACTTTGCAACCCACAGATTGAAAAACACTGATTTAGACTATTTCACTTTATTATAGTCTCTCTCTTCTAATCTTATATTTGCTGTGAGTTAGTCTACTTTTTAAATGTATCCTTGACAGTCGCACACTCAGGATTTAATTTTGGGGGACCAGAGTTGAACAGAAAAAATAATAATTTTTTTAATGTGAATTCAATAAAATTTCTACCTTACGTGATCGCTAATTCATGTGTTATAGAAATAGAAGACACAATACAATATAAATGAAAAAATGAATTTTAATTAAGAAAAGATTTTTGGAAAATTTTCTAGTGTTTTTTTTTTCTTTCTTTCTTCTTTTCTTTTCTTTCCTTCTTTGGAAGGTGCCAGGGCCCCTTGGTCCCCTCTGCGTGTGCCACTGATCCTTGATGAAGTATATTTTTTATGCATGGACAATATATTCACTTGAATAACTTTGGCATACATTTCAATTTAAAATAATGTAAATAATAAATAAATAATTGAGAAAATAACTTTTTAAAATATGTTTTTCTGCAATATGATTTCCCTCGCCCAATTTTTACTGCCTTGGAGTGAAAACAGCATAAAAATAACTTTAAAAAAGTTTTTCAACATCATTTATTTCTTTTTACTAATGTCTGTAGCTACTTTATTAATTCTGTTGGTTCTGTAAAACAGTTGCAAACTAGGGTTGCCGACTTTCTTGTACAAAAAAAGGATGAGATTGTATGGACATTGTGTAATGGAGGACATTTATAACAAACTAGTCTGTTATAAATATTTGTTGACTAACTATAAATTAGGAAACATTAAATAGACAATAAATAAGGTTTTAAATTCAATGTCAGAATTATTAACAACTGTTCATATCACCACCCTAATAGAATCCCTAAATTTTATTTGCTTGTCTAACTCTTAATAATAGTAGTGTCTTTCTCTTTTTGTTACTCTGGTGAGTGATAAATACAAAACTGTTGTTTTAGAATAAGAAAATAGATTACTAGAATATTGTCTGCTGATAATATTTCAAAAATAATGTAGAATTAAACAAAAGCAAATAATTAAAATTGTAGTGTCAAAAGGAAGACATTATTGATAAAAGGATGATGAGAAGATAATACAATTCACTTTAGGAATGTCCTCCCAAATGGAAGATTGTTGGCAACCCTATTGCAAACTACTACTATAACAACAGTTTTATATTGCAAAATGTTTTAAGATAAAACTTACAGTCAACCCCCCTATAAGATATAGATACGTTCCAATTTATTAGGAATCCGATTTCTTACAAGTCGTTCCAATCACAGCCCGACACGTGTCAAGTTTACGGACTACGGCTGATTGAAAGGTTTTCTTCCATAAAATTAATCGATTCTACACTAATCCGACTCAACATTTCCAAAATACGTATATTTTTTCGTAGTTTTATAGGAATCGTAATTATAGGGACCGTAATTATAGGGGGGTTGACTGTATTAATTTAATTTAATGATTATATTGCTATATTGCTGAATAGTTTTATTTATTAACAAACTTTTTAGAGTTCTTTAACCTATCATTACATTTAATATCTGTTTGAAGTTGTCATTGATATACAGTAATAGTATCAAATAATTTTATAGCGGATTGTTTTATCTTTGTATAATTAAGCTAGATAACAATAATAAATCAGTTTACTATCATTTAGATTTAACTATGCAAAAGAATATTTCTCCCATTCCTTCTGTATTTTTTGATGGGCTTTTCTTACCATTTAGTTTTTGTAACAAAATTATTAATTTTATTGAATGATTGATGAGTTTTATTTTATACTCATCCATGTTTGACAAGCTACAGCTTGTATTATTGTGAAATGTTAAAAATTAAGTCTCTTACAGAATATAATACTAAGTGTGACGATAAATAAAATTGAGTAGCTTAAACATATAAAAAGCAAACAAAATAATAAAACTGAAGTCAAGAAAAGAAAATATATTGATAATCTAACCTCTGTACCTTAATATACATTATAATATAGTATAAATTATTACATAATTTGAAATTAATTTTTGTTCTAACAAATACACTTTAAAAAGTAAANAATATTTTTTTTTTTTTTTTTGGAGATCTGGTGATAAGTTGATATGAACTGTATACAAATCGTATGCTTGATCGTTTAATGAAAACTTTTTGTCAGCTTTCCTATCCCACATTCTTTACTAGAATTATCAATTTTCTGTTTTTAGGTCTTGAAATGCTTTATCATCCTGGTTCGTCTTTATAAAGACGAGACGCTTTCTTCTCTGGATGACACCACAGAAGATTTTAGAAAATCATGTCTCTTCTTCGTATAAACTGTTTCTATTTTGATTTTTAGAGAACTTGGCATTGTGTCTAATTTGGCTTCTTCCTCTTTTTGAGACGAACCACTCGCATAAGATTCAGAACTATATCTGATTTCTATGCTAATTTTGTAATTTTGCCATCATATGTGCAGTTTTGGCTTCAGTTGAGGAAGATACTCGTCTTTTTCAATTTTTGGTAGGTTGCCACGCGTCCTACTTTCGTTAGGACGGTGCTACAATTACGATAGATGTCCTACATCCTACATGAAAGTTTAATTGTCCTACTTTACATTTGTAAACAAAAAAACTTTATGTTAAAAAATATAGTCATTTTAAAAAGACACAAGACATTATAATATAAAAGTTAATAATAAAAATATTTTATTTTAAACAATGTTAATTAATTAATTAATAATTTAAACTTATGTAATCCTTTAGTTACTTATGTAAAGAGTGAATAATTTCTGTTTTGTAAATCAATAATGTGCAATGGATAAACTAGTATCTAAATTATATATTTGTATAAGAAATAAAGGTGAGATAAAGCAGAAAAAAGATGTTTGCTCTAAACATTTTTTTCTGTATAATCATAATCTTATCTAGGTTTAGTTTGTTTTTTACATAATTTAAACATTTTTAATTTAACATAGAATGAATTATAAAGAAATTTTATCTATCTTATCTATATCTAACTAAGAAAATTAAGTTAAAAATATTTTCTCAGCAAATAATATGAAATAGAATGAAATTTATAAAGCTATCCTTTGGTATTAAAAATACTAGACATATGAATAAACTAAAAACATGAACATTGTTTTTTCCAAGTACATTCTGTTTTTGTGATTGTAAAGAGAAACTGAAACTGAGCACTTGAATTAAATGTAATAACAATTTATGAATTTAGATCAATAATTAGAATAGGGTAATATTTCTTTGCCAGGAGAAATTCAATGTCAATTTATTTTTTAAAAATTATTGCTAAAATGCTTTTATATTTGAGAGACCAAGAAAGGTATGATACATTCAAATGAACAATATAATGAGGAGCTACTTATAAAAATATAAAAGAAATATTACAACATGAGACATTTTTTAAAACAAATTGAAATAAAACATTATTGCATGGTCACTGATCCAAATGAATTGTTGTATAAGGTTGTTCAATTTAGTGAAAAGTTGGAATAATGATGTTATATATAATTAACAGGAAGTGAAAAACCTACAGACAAATACATATATTTAAGACATTTTTATAGTACCTTTGGTCTGTATATTTATATTAAAATGAGTAGTATTTACTTATTTTACAAATTTGTCATATTTTAAAAAATAAAATATGATTTCTTTTTATTGTCTGGAACATTTAGTGGAAATACAAACAAAATTAATTTCAATTAAGCAGAATTTCAGAGTTTACATTGGCCAGAGCACACTAATTTGCTGTCATGCAAAATAGCATTTAAAAACTTTGAATAGCAATGTGACTTAAGAAGACAGCATCTTGACCTACTCATGTAGCAAATGATATTGTTTCACAGGTAATTATTTGAGAAACATTGAACAATTCCTACAGTTGGCAGATCACTGGATTGAGATGCTAAACTTTTTTCAGTTACATTATTATTCATTCCTTTAATTTCTATTTTGTACCACATCAAATTCTTTTGTTTAAATTC